GTTCGAGAAATGCATGACGTGTTACTAGCGTCACGTGACCTCCGCTGTCGTAACAATACTTTGTAATAGAAATGTATCTGCAATAACCAAACGTGTCAGAGAAGAAAATCATAAAATAAAATTCAATAATGCTAAAATAATGGGATACGAACCACCCCCAAGAAAAACAGATATAAATGAAACCTTCTACATTGAACTAGTTGATAACGTGTTCAATCAACCTGGAATATAATCATCAAATTATGGATATTCTTCATAAAGTCATTAAAAAATTCCAGCAAAAAATGTAGGCTTGAATTTCAGTTCCTGCCACAACATACAGCCTTTCTCATGACTTTCCTGTTAGACGGCAGCAGACTAACAGCCGAAACATAGGATATTAACCAATTAGTAATCAGCGTCTAAGAATAGAAATATAGATAAATTAGTAAGTGGTTGAACTCAACAGCTGTTCAGATTGATCGGTTAATGCTGAACAGGAGAAAGAGAAAGCCTTTCTGGCTAGACTGTCAACATGCGGCTGTATCTCAGAAAACAACTTCACAAACATAGCAGTGTGAGGTTGATGAGTATTGTTTGTGTGACTTTCCTGTGTATTAAGACCCCGCACATCCTTATAACATGTAGAGGGGGGGGGGAGATCCAGAGACCCCACAGGATAATAGGCTGGAAGTTTTTCTTAGAGGTTGGATAGGTAGTCTGACCACGTTTGAAATGGGAAATGGACTACAAACAGTGGAATCTGGAGACAAGTGTTCTTTACAGAATCCAAGCTTGAAGTGTTCGGCAACAGTCAACGACAGTTTATTCAATGTCAGAGAAGAAAATGGTATCATAGTCAATGTACAGCATCTTTTGTGAAGCGTGGGGCTGCTCCTCAGCCAATGGGATCTATGATCTACATAAATTTCTTGTTACTCTGAGAAAACAAATACATAGTTAAAAAACACACATCTATAACAAACTTTTTTCTATTATTACTTGCAACGTTTCGGGCAGAAGCCTTTCGTCAGGCAATATAAACAGTGTTACATGGAAAATAGGCTTAGACAAAGTCGTCGAATGGTTAGAATATACAGAGATTCTAAATGAAAAACGTGGAGCACGTTAACAAAAATATTGTTAGAAGGAACATTGTTGACGCGTTTGTATAAACAGTTTGAAAATGAAAAATAAGTATTAAATAATAAAATAATAATACAAGAATTACCAAACAGTAAATGCTAAATTCAAGAATCAGACGACAAGAGTGCCATGGTTTCAAGTTAGTTGTTTCACAATCACAATATATAACTTCTCCTTGTGTCCCTTAAATGGCACCTTAGTTTTTCATGAATATGTGAATTATGTATTTAATTCTATAAATAATGATCTTCTTTTGTTCCTTTCAGACATTTTTCACGTCGCGTTTTCTTCCTGAAAATAAAGTGCTACGCCATTAAGCTTTTGTAAGCTTTGATTTATGAAGAGAAACCTAAAATGACTTTCATTCATCATAGTCAGTAAACAGGGCTTTTAAAATAGAGTTGGAGGCATTATATAAATTAAATAAGTTCAGAATCTAAAATAAATTAATTTTAATAAGTTTGCACGTTTACGTTGCAAACTGACGCTTCTTTCTTTCTTTTTTCTATTTTCAGTAACTGACCTATGATTTTTACAACAGTTATGTGAAGCATAGGAGTAGTCATCAATCTTTCTGAAAAACTGCAGAAGATAATTGCACTTCCAGCCCCCCCAACCAGTGGCACAGCGGTATCGTCTGCTGACTTATACCGCTAGAAACCGGGTTTCAATAGTCGTGGTGGGCAGAGCACATATAGCCCTTTGCGTAACTTTGTGCTTAATAACAATCAATAACAATGTACTTCCAGAAAAAGTATAAACCCATAAAACTATCTGAACTTTCAGAATTAATCGTCGTAAATTATATATATATAATTTGTATAATAATTATTTATATATAACCTTTTTAAATCGCCACTTTATGATAGAGA